CCAAATTCATCTCATCCCGCCCCAAATCCCCCAGATTAGGGTTTCGATTCCTTCGCTTCAATTGCGACGGCGCCGCCGGCGTCGAGAGAAGTAGACTTATGGCGGGTCCGGTGACGGTGAAGGAGAAGATCGATCTCACTGAGAAAGAGGAGAATTTCAAGCGCTTGCTCGATGTTTTGAAGCACTTCGAGTTGGGAACTCAGCTTCGAGTCGTCGGCGGTTGGGTTCGCGATAAGGTCGAATTTAATCCTTATTTTCTCATCTAATTTATATTATTGATGACGGTATTGTTTCAATTCGATCAAAGGAATGAAAAATTCTTCGGAGACTGGGGAAGAAATAAGTAGCTGGTATGCTAATTGCTATAGTTGGGATTTAAAAAAATTCAGTTGGGTGCCTTTGTTAAAGAAATGAACAAGCACTGCAGGCAGCAGTCTCCCCTGCCAGCAACCTTTTTTAGCAGACTGTTAAGTGAGAGGAGCACATGTGAACTCCTAATTAATCAATGCCTTGAAAGGCATACTACTATTATTTAGTAACCACGTAAGTAGTGCATAACTAGTTTTAGAACATATGGGTATTTGTAACATACAAGCAATATAGTTTCTGCTCTTTATGTGAGAAAAGCAAATAAGAAATGAACGAATAGGAAATATTTCCTAGGAACTGATCTTCTAGGACAATGTTATTGCAGCATTATTATTTTAAGGTAATTGATGGACTGAAATTAATCTCCAGAAGATACAGTATTGAGATTTTAACAAAACCAGGATTCATGAAAGAAGTAAAAATAATTTAGAACCAGAACTAACTTGTCCTAAAATCAGGATGCCAACAGAAACATGGTTCATGCATCCCTAATGTAATAGTAGTAGATTCTAAGAGGCACTATCCTCGATGCAAAAGAAGGTGCTACTGTTAGTGTGTCTTCTAGTGATCCATTGATTCCATTCTCACTCTGTGATGATTCCTTTCTCCTCCTTGCCAAAAGAAACGAATTTGTGCCTGCGTCCTACTATGATTATCCTCAAATCTATATGATGAATAAAGACTCTAGCAGTATATCAAGTGAAGATACAGAGTCTTCTGGAAACATAATTTTCGTCCTGTAAATATATATTCAGTTATTGGAAGTTGATTTTTTTATTCATGCAGTTCCATGTTCACGTTGTTACTCGGATCGTGCATAGATCTTCTTGTCCATGGTTTATCATGCTTGTTGTGTAGCTTAGAATTTGTTAATTTTTTGTATGTTTTGTTGATTATTATGTGTTGTTCTTCACATTTTGGTATAAAGATTTTATCTTTGCATATTGTTCAGTAGTTCGCATCTGCATTATTTCATATCTGAGTTTGCTTGCTTGTTTGTTTGGTTAATAGTATAAGATTATAAAACCAGTCCTTCCATGGTGAGGTCCAGTTATTTAAGCCTTAAGCTCTGAAGGACAAATCTTGATTATTTGATACCCGATGCTCCATGTCCTGATGAGGTTGTGTTTTGGTCTCTCTTACTGAGGTTTTTTATGGTCACAGTTCCCGCCCCCAATTTACTCTTACCGGTGTGATCGTCCTTGCTGCCTCATTTGCAATCTGTATCCCATCTTGGGGTTCGCGTTTAATCTGCAGTTTCTCAATGGCTTCTAAAATGCACAAACGGCATTTGTATGCATCTCGGAGGTTCATCATGGTGTGTGATAATGGGTTAGTAAGTAGAAACATGTTGCTTACATCCGTTTTTGTACAAGGGCATGTTTTTGATTTGGGATTCGGCTAAGAAGTAAGTAGTGGTACGAGATGGGGTTAGGGTATGCACTGTGACATAATTGAAATTCCTTCAGTATGAAAGTTGTAGATCCAAAACTAAATCTCATCAGACTACAGTCGAAGCTATAAGTTGTTGGTTTCATCATAATGGTATATATATTTGTTTCCTTCAAACGCTAAGGCTTGAGTATAACAGAAACGTATCTTATTGCAACTCAGGCATGTATCAATGATTAATTTATTGGAACTACGATTGCTCTTTATTAGAAAGAAATATGGTGGAATTATTAAAAGCAAACTAAGCAAACTGGCCTCATACACTAGGTCTACTGAAGAGCGTTCCGTAATTAGAGTACCATAAATAGACATGAATTATACAGTGTTAAATAGAATCTTAACATACTTACGAGTAACGACCTTCTTCGTTATCTCGAATTCCGTCAACAAACCAGAAGATCAGTAAGTATTCATGCAATCGCTTATATTGTTTCTATTGTTGAAGTCACGTTGCCTGATGATGAAAAAAAGAGATCTTACTGTCTTTAGTTCTTAAGGGTAGTTCGAGTTTTCAGGTCGGGGGTTACCCTTCTCCTTCATCTTAATGTTATTTGAACAATATTTTAACCGAATATTTCTAATTTTTTGATGATTTCTTATGAATGCATTAGGGTTTGGTGATTTTGATGAATTCTTAGCTAATTCAAGTAAGGAGCGCTTGTCTCATCTCAAAGGTACAAAATTTTCATTTTATTGAGAATTCTATTCTTTTTATTTAGTGTATACTTGATTATGATGCATTTCTAAATGCATTTCTTACTCATACCAATTGAACATGAGCTTATAACTGGAAAAGAAAACTCCATGGAAACCCTGTCCCGTTGGTTAAAACTGGAAAAGAAAAATCCATCTAAATATAGAGATAACTGAATGATGCCCCTCCCATCAAAAATATTTTAAAAGCACAAAAACTTAAGGCGTTCTTGTTGTGCATAGGAACTGTTGTGGTCAGGAAAATCTGTCATCCCACGGAGTTCGACTTTTTTCTATGCAGCCATTCTGGCATACGGGTAAAAACTATTATTCGCTGGTTCTCATTCAGATTCTGCTGGTCAAGTTATTGTTCTTAAAACTGTGCTGATCAGTGACAACTGAACAAGGAGTAATGCTTGCCGCCGCACCTTTACGAAATGTTACCCAGTGTTGGAAAAACCTGCAACGCATAATATAGGTCTTGCAGTTAGAATCAATACCCATTTCTTTATTTTCAATATTCTTCCAAGCATCATTTGTACATTCAGTTAGAATTTTAGCCTCCTCTGGATCAGTTTCGGAAGCGCAAAGCCTTTCAGTTTCTCCCTTGCTTGAATTATTGATGATAGTTTTATAAGTTGCCCAACTTTAACTGGAATGCGGATGGTTGATTTTGAGAGCAAGTACTACTAGCGTTTAGCTTACATGCCGATGGTTGAACTAGTTTTTGCTCCTCCTCAATGTCATGTCCTTTGGAGATTGTTTTTGTTTGAGACATGTACGGTCATATATGAAGTGTTTTATCTGTTTGCTGGGGCCTCGCAAAGTATCATGTTTGGGTTGCTGTTTCTACAATGAACTGCAATTGAGTAGTTAAGAGGCTGTGGGATTAGTTGATAGCTGCATGTGAGACTAAAAATTTTATTTGTTCCTATTTCAAATTATTGATATGCTCATTTTCTTTGTAGGTTTTGGGCTCATATCGTGATGGCATATGAATTACTCTT